GATTATTGCTAGTATAAGATATTTATAACGTTATGATCATACCATACTGAATTTTGAGGTTCAAGCAAAATCGACGCATATGCCGAAAGTACATTGAAGGTTTTATTGATTGTATTGTACATGGCATTTTATATAGCAATTCAATATGTAGGGTATTTACCATGGTGATTATTCTCAATTCTTTTTTATCGTGATGATAAGACAAAGGGTTCCGAATCTAAATCATTATTTTGGTGACGTCACTATACTGATAAATATTTAGCCATACCTTTGATCATTGGTTACGAAAATTTAGTCGATTTAATTGGTCAATTTCGTCAATTTCGTCATATTTCGTCAAATGCGACGAAATAATTCCCCGCCCTGCAAAATATTTCGTCAACCATTCTTAATCTGGAAATAATTAAGATTGTTGTGAAAAAGCATGATATTATTCATAAATCCAAATCGCAAACTTTTAACTGTATTTTTCTTTTTTTCGATGTCATCCATCGTAATGTTATTTTTTTATTAAAATAAACAATTCCATCATTATTTGTTTTAAAATAAATTAATTGATTAAATTAATTGATTTTTTTTTTAATGAATAATACAATTATTGAATATGGTGTGCAAGTAACTCTTTAAGATTGGGAGTCACAAAATGAATAATAAACCATTAATCAATCATGTACAATTTTAAGATGTGAATTTATTTATTAATTTAAAAAAATATTTAACATATTTAACATAAATCATGTGTAAAAAAAAAAATAAATTAATAATTATATTTTTTTTAATACATTAAAAAACATAATTGTAAATTATGAAGCTTAAAAAAAAATTTTTTAACGCAAAATGAAAAAAATTCATAATTAATAAAAAAACAATGCAAATTTTTATAAAATTTTATATTATAGTTGGTGATGATTTCAATCAATTTTCAGTTTATTATAATTTCAAAACGTTTTAAATTTATCAACAAAACAAACTACAACTTGATCCAAATCTCAATCAATCATATATACAATTTCAATCCTAACTTCGATCTCAATTTCCAACTAATTTCATTTCCCAAATACAAAATTATCACACAAATTATCCAGTATTTCAACAATTGCAGACTCTCAGACAATTATTAATCAAGTTGAGAAGGCATTCTGTTTTATTACTTTGCAAAATTCGTTGAACAAACCACCACGGAAAACCACAAACATCACCATATAATATAGCACGCCAGTTACTCTACGTGATATGAATCTGTACAGTAATCTTTCAAAATAATTTTTGAGAGTTTTATGTATTCGAGTTAATTTATACAATCTTGATTTTGGTATTGATAGACCAGTTGTGGCGGTGGCGGCAGTTGTAGAAATTGGCGAATCTGAATCTGAACTTAAATTTTTAGTGTTGGTGGGTGAAGAAACCAAAGATGTGGAAATCTCATGATTTAGTATTGATGAAGAAGAATTATTTTGTCCTTCATCTCCTTCCTCCTCGTCATCTTCTTCATTCTCCTCATATTGATGAGGAAAAGGATAATGATCATTAATGATATTATTGCTGTTATTTTGGAGATGACGATTATGAGAAAGATAATCAATTTGGAAATTGACATGTAGATCACTATTATTATTATTATTAATGGAATTATTGATGTTGCTATTATTGTGATGATTACCATTTGATAAATGATTAGTTAGGATTGGTTTAATTGGTTTTGGTGAAACTATACCATTATTGTTAGTGTTAGTAGGAGTTAATGGTTGTAAAGGAATTACACGAGGTGATTTTGGAGTCATCTTTAACCAATTTGGAACATGATTATTATTACTATTAGCATTATTATTATTGATAGTGTTGTTGTTATTGTTGTTATTAGTAATGTCAATATGATTAATGTGATTATTATGATTATGATTGATATGATTAATATGATTATTATAATGGTGATTTATTACTCCAGGACTTGGAGGTCTGCTTGAAGGTCTGCTAGATGGCCTACTGGATGATCTACTGGAAGACGATGAACGATGCTTGAATGGCGGACGAATATTTATAACAGAAGGAGACAGATTATTGCTATTATCGTTATTGGGTGTTGTTGGTCTACTTGAATAAGGAGTGGAGTAAGGCGTGAAGAATACTTCATGGGATGAATCGAATGAAGTAACCCTGTACAAAGATTTTGGCATCGATAATACAGAGGAAGGTTTGCCGTATAATTGATAAATATCGTAATTCTTCAAGTCGTATTTATAGTCATCATTCCCGCCATGTTCCAACAACAAATCATCATCATCAAAATAATCCAGCAATTCTTTGTTTGACGAAGGGAAAAATATGCGACTCAACGATTCTTCGGGTAAGATTCTTTTGAATATCTGCCATATTCCGGAATACATCCAGCCATAATTCAAGACAAATATCGAACCTATATAACCAGGAAAATGATGTCTCGCGAGATCAACCGCAAATGGAACCAATTCCATATCCAAAGTTGAAACACCTGCACCTTTCAAATCCAATAGCATGACATACTGTAATATCATGCTATCTTTTTTCGACGAAGAATTTCTTTTATCCAATAATAATCTTCTGCAAATTTCAACATTGAATATAATGAATTTCTTTATATCATCGATTGTCACAGGTGGTAACAACATGTAATCATCATCGTTTTGTTGTTGATTGCTGCTGTTTTTTTTGATTGGTTGATCTTTTTTTGTGTATTCTCTGAGATTAAGGATTGCACAGGGACGATTGAATTTATCAGTTTTATGAAAATAGAATAAACCAATCTCAAGTAAAGATGGATGAATATCATTAATTGAAATATTGTCAACCTTATTTTCTATCCTCCATCTAAGATTATTTTCTAAAGCTTTACAGGCAATCTCAAAATCAAATCCAGCCCTTTTAAGAAAATTAAATATATTTTCTAATGATGATTTTTGGTAAGGAAAAAAAAAAAAAAAAAAGAAAATTAAAATCCCGATTTTAATTTTATTTATTAAAAAATAAACAATTTAACGTGCACAGTTTAAGTTACCTTTATCGTCTATATATTTTCTTGACCTTTCAAATGTAATGAAATCTAGCTTTAATTCCTGATTCAATTCATTTAAATAATTAAATATCGATGTTTGTAAATCGTCCACTATAGATTCATATTGTTTGTATAAAGCAGTCAGTTGAATGATTTTCTCTTTAACTAAATTACAACTCATTATTACTAATTTATTATTATTATGATTAATTAAATGTCTCTAATTACAATGATTTTATTATTTTTGATGATATATTCACAAATCTTGTGTAAAATATATATATATATATTTAGAAGTATATATATATAAGTGTAAATATGTAAAAATTAGATTAAAAAGTATATATATATATATATATATAAGCGTGTATATGTAAAAGTGTAAAAGTGTATATATTATATTACTATTTATAGTGATTTTTTTTTATAATTATATCAATTAACTGAATAATCAATATATTAAAAGAAACAAACGGATAACTTTAATTGTAAGTTTTGATGATGATGACGAAGA